TTCACATACAAAGAGCAAAGTCCAGGGGTTGATGAGATGTCTTAGAGGTTAAGAACACTTAACTGTTCTTGCAGAGGACCCAGGTTCAATTCCCAGCACCTACATGGCTAACAACTGTCGGTAACTCCAGTTCCAGGGGATCTGACACCCTCTTCTGAACTCCTCACACATTGCACAACATGGATGCACCCATCTACATGCAGGCAATACACTCATACACATAAAATAATAAAAATAAATTAAAATGTTAAAGAGTAACAAAGAGCAAAGTTAAATGATACAAGATAGACAAATATGAAAATGTTGGAATGAATGAAACCCATTGTTTTGAAAGTCAGCTGGCCTCAGTTCTGTTGTTAGTTCTATAAGCCTTGAGATTAAGGGACTTTTTCAAACTTAGTTTCTTCATATGTAGACCTAAGAGAGAAGAAGGAATTTATTTAAGCTCCGAGCACCTACCATAAGAAAGATTCCAGGGCTGCAGAGATAGCTAGCAAAAGAAAGGAGAAGGAATGGTTTGGAAATCTGCACCCAAACTGGGCAAGGTGGTGCACGCCTTTAGTCCCAGCCCCTGGGAGGCAGAGGCAGGTGGATCTCTGGGAGTTTAAGGCCAGCCTGATCTACATAGTGAGTTCTAAGCCCCACTACACGGAGACCCTGTCTCAAACAGACCTCCCCCGCAAAAAAGGAAATCTGTACCCAAGCTTTGCTCAGGCCCACTTTCCTCCCTTCAGGAAAGACCAGCTCTCATGCATCCATGCACAGCTTTCACTGTAGTGCGGCCATGTTTTTATTTTTCTAAGGTCTACACCAGGGATTGGAATTGCTGGCTCGTGTGGTATAATTGTTGGAAGATCTGCCAAGCTCCTCTGCATAGTGTTATTGCCCCATTTGACTTTCCCACCAACTGTATGCAAGGGTTCCAGTATGCCACATCCTCATCACCTATTTTAAGCTTGTGTTTTTTTATTATTTTTATTTTATGTGTATGAGTGTATTGCCTGCATGTATATCAATGCACCCATCTTGTACAGTGCTTCCGAGGTCAGATGAGGGTGTCCGATTCCCCTGGAACTGGAGTTAAGGATGGTTCTTAGCCACCATGTAGGTACTGGGAATCAAACCTGGGTCCTCTGCAAGAGCAGTCAGTGCTCTTAACCGCTGAGCCATCTCTCTAGTCCTAAGCTTGTGTTTTTTTTACATTGTTTTTGTTTTTAAGTTAACATTCATCCCACTAGGTATGAAGTAGTATCTTACTGTGGTTTACACTTTGTGTTTCCCTAACAATTAGCAATGTTCAACTTCTTTTTATATGCTTAATCTTCTTTGGAGAAATGCCTGTTCAATATTTTGTCTATTTTTATTTTATTATTCTTCCAATATTTTGTTATTTTTATTTTATGTAGACATGAGTGTATTACCTGCATATATGTCAGTGCACCTGTGCCATGCAATGCCCCCAGAGGTCAGAAGAGGGAGTCAGATTTCCCCGAAACTGGAGTTGCAGACAGTTGTTAGCCTCCATGTAGGTACTGGGAATCAAACCTGGGTCCTCTTCAAGAGTAGCCAGTGCTCTTAACCACTGAGCCCTCTCTCTAGCCCCTATATTATTACTTTTTAAAATTCTCGTTTTGTCAGCTCCTCTATCCCGAACTGGGGACTGTCCCGAGCGTTTTTCCCTGCCAAATAAACTCTATCTCACTGGGAAAAAAAAATTCTAGTTTTTAAGAAGTTATGTGTGTGCACATATGCATGTATGCACATTCATGTGGGGAGTAGTGCCTGCAGAGGCCAAAAGAGGGTATTGGATCCCCTGGAGCTGGAGTTAAAGAAGGTTGTGAGCCACTTGACATGGGTACTGGGAACTGAACTCAGGTACTCCAGAAGAGCAGCAAGTGATCTTAACCACTGAGTCATCTCTCAAGCTCCTATTTATTTTATTGATTTTTGGGAGGATGGGGGAAGTGAGGGAGTGTTGGCCTGAAGCTTACTATGTAATCCAGAGTGGCCTCACTCAGCTCTCCTGCTCTGCCTCCCCAGTGCACAGTCGCATAAAAGCATGTGCCACTATTTTCAACTTCTTTGCCCATTTTTAAGTTAGATTATCTTTTTATGGCTGTGGTGTAAGAATTCCTTATGTGTTCTAGACTCCGTCTTTTTTAAAATATTTTTTTATTTTTATTTTATGTGTATGAGTGTATTGCCTGCATGTATGTGAGTGCACCTGTGTCATGCAATGCCATGGAGGTCAGAAGAGGGCTTCAGATTCCCCTGGAACTGGAGTTAAGGATGATTCGTAGCCGCCTTATGGGTGCTGGGAATCGAACCTGGGTCCTCTGCAAGAGCAGTCAGCAGATGGCACTGAGCCATCTCTCCAGCCCCCATGAGGCAAAAGTTTTAAAAATAATTATTTAATTCTTATTTATTTACGTATGTATGATGTATGTATGTATGTATGTATGTATGCCACATGAATCCAAGTGTCCACAGAAGCCATAATGGGGTGTGTCAGATCCCCTGAAGTAGGAGTCACAGATGGTTTTGAGCTTCATCATGTGAGTGCTGTGATCTAAACTCAGCTCCTCTGCAGGAGCAGCAAATACCATCTAGCTAATATTTTTTCTGCTGCATCAGTTTTTGGAATCGTATCTAAGAAACCGTTGCCTTGTCTGAAGTCGTAGATATTTACTCCTGATTCTGCCCCCCCGCCAAGAGTTTTATAGTTTTAAGTCCTACATTTAGGTCTGTGTCTGTCTTACTCATGGAACATCCCTGGAGCCTGGAATTGTGCTAACGTGTAGAAGGATCTTGATACTTCCCTAGTCAATAACGGACATTTCTTTCTAGTCCTGGTCTGCGGCTGGTTGAGTAAAGGGCTAGAGAGACACTGTGCAGGGTGCAGTGGCAGAGGCTTGCCTAACATGTGCAAGGCCCTGGGTTCAGTCTTCAGCACTGTTTAAGGGGTAGGCTGATACACAAGACATAACAATTTGTTTTAATGTCATCCCCAATGAACTTGTTACTTACGTGCTCATCATTCCTTGTCTGCCAGCTTCCTTCCTATTTGCCTTCAGTTTTGCCTCTCTCTCATTTCCATAGTTGACAGAATGTCACCAAGATACATTTACATATATATGTATATATTTGAAACAGCATAAGAGATTATTAATTGTACACATTACACTTGTCCACAAGTGAGAACAGAACTAGCCCAGAATACCATGGATCTGGGGCAGAGGAGTGTTTATGTTGCAGCAAGGTGGTCTCTTAGAGGTGGTCTCGATGATCATTTCCAGAGCCAGTGAAACAGTATCAGCAACTTGTCCCAGCGTCCAGCCTCCAGCAGCCTTGTTTCTGCTCCTGAAGCCTCTGTGTCAGCAGAACCCAGTGCACTCAGACCTCTACCCATCTTTCTCTTGCACGTCAGTCTGCTCAGGAGCCTCTTCCTCCAGTTCCCTCCCTCTCATGGTGCTGGACTTCCTATAAGGAAAGTGGCACTGATGCCTTGGCTACTAAGATATTTTCTAACCAAATAGCATCTAACCTGCTTTGATTAAAGTGTAAATATCAGGCTGGCAGTGGGTAAAGACACTGGCTACCAAACCTGACAGTCTGAATTCAATCCCCAGGACCCCCATAGTAGAAAAACAGCTAACCCTAACCCTTGCAAGTTGCCGTTTTCCTCCCATTTGCCACATGTGCACCATGGCGCGCGCACACACACACACACACACACAAAGTAAGAAAATGTTCCTTAAAAGTAAGTATCTCATCCGGGCGTGGTGGCACATGCCTTTAATTCCAGCACTCGGGATCTTTTTTTTTTTTTTTTTTTTTTTTTTTTTAAAAAAAAAAAAAAAAAAAAAAAAAAAAAAGTATCTTAGGTATGTAAGGAATTTTTTTCTATCATAAAAATTCTTGTTGGAACAGAGTACTATAGTGCGTATCTATAATCCCAACACTTGGGAGGCTGAGTCAGGAGGATAGCAAGTTATAGTCCAGCCTGGACTACATAGTGAGACCATGTCCTTTCTTGAAAAACAAAAACAAAAACATTCGGTGATTTATGCCAGAAATCCCAGCACTTGGAATGCTGAAATAATAGAACTTACTCAAATTCGAGACTGTTCCCCTCTACTCTGAGCTACAGAGTAAGACCTTGTCTCCAAAATAAATAAGTAAATAAATGAATCAGTCCTTATTGGTTCAATATTTCTTTGAGTTTTGGCAAATAAATTCAGATACCCTGGCAATGTATATATTCCAAAGTAGAAGTTGCCTTCTTGCTGGGAAAATCTTGATGCTTAGAACTATTAGAGAGAAGTGTGTATGCGCATGGAGAGAGAAGGCAAGATGTCAACAATCAGTGAATCAGAGTGAAGAAGTTTGCCGAACTATTATTTCAAATTTGTTGAGACAGACCCTTGCTAGGTATCCTTGACTGGCTAGAACTGGCTGTGTAGATTAGACTGGCCTCAAACTTGTGGCCATCCTCTTGTCCTCTGCCTCCTAAGTGCTTGGATTACAGTTGTGTTTAACTCACCTGGCAACCACATTTTTTAGGTTGACTTAAAAAAAAAAAAAAGAAAACACCTTGCCAGTCACAATCCTATGCACAGAGGGAATTAGCGAACCCTGAGAAGTTTCTGTGTGCTGGACATTTGGTGCACATCTCATTAATCCTCAGCTATCAGAGGAAGCAAAGGAAAGCAAATGACTTGGAACCAGAATTTGAATGTGGGTCCCTCATCCAAGCTCTCATGCCTGGCTTTCTCTGTTATCATGTAGGTATTAATGGGCTTGTGCTTAGGGAGGGTGGATGGGAACTGGTCTAGGGTTTCTAGAACAGATTTGAAGCAAATGAGTGAGGATGTGGAGGGAATCTTCACCCTCCTGCCGGTCAGTTCATAAGTAGGCCCTGGGTCTCAGTGTTGCCACCCCCCTTGCCCCACGCTGTCAGAGGAACAGCCCTGACACTTCTCTGTTCACCTGTCTTCCAGGAACTGAAGCTGCCTGCCTTCCATGCCCACTCGCCCCTCCTGAAGAGCCGTCGGTTCTTTGTAGACATTCTGACCCTGCTGAGCAGACACTGCGAGCTATGCCCTGCGGCCCGGCACCTGGCTGTCTACCTGCTGGACCACTTCATGGATCAGTACAACATCACCACTTCCAAGCAGCTGTATACTGTGGCCATTTCCTGTCTCCTGCTGGCAAGTAAGCAGAAATCTAGGTCTTCCTTTGTAGCCAGTGGAGCTGCTGCCAAACAGCAGCTGTGTACTTTGGATGTCTTTGCATGACCTCTGCTCATTCTTCCCTATGTGTGAATTATATTAATAAGCATCAATCTTTTTTGCATCTATAACATATCAAAGTAAGTAATGAGGATTTCCATAGCTTGAACTTAATAAATCCACACTGACCTAGGAGACAGTCTTGATACCGCATGTTTCCAAGGCTCAGAGAAGCCTGGAAACTTGCTTTAGGTTGCCAGGTTGTATGTGGCAGAGAAGATTTAAGACCACATCTATGTGTGCTCTGAACTTCATGTTTCCTGCTTCTTGCCATGAGGAATCTGAATGTACTGGGAAGGAGCCCTAGCAACCACTGTTCTTAGAGGTGTCTAGAGATATTTGATTTGGAACTAACCAGGACCCATGAAATAGTCATCAGGCCTAAGCATATCCCTTATGGGGTCTGCACCTTTCAAAGAGACCTCATTGAAAACACAGCCTAGCTGACTGTATCGGTATACTACAGCTTGGATGTGTTCCTGACCACACAGGTCTGCCATACCTCTTAAAACAGCCCCATGGTTGGCCGAGACTCTCAGGGGGCCGACCCAGACTCAAGCTCTGTCCTCTCTGGACTCGCATCTTTCTCCTCATCACTTCCTGGTGGCATCCATACTAGCCAAGCCCTGACCCATCCACAGACCCCTACAGAAGCTGCTCCCTCTGCCTGCATTGCTCTCTTTATGAACTCGGGCCGCCCACCCCTGTGAACCCTCCCCCACTACCCTGCACAGCTGAGGTCACCAGTGTACAAAGCCATGAGATCCTATATTTAGAATTAATACCCGATAGGGCTGGGGAGGTGGCTCCCTGGGTAAAGTGCTTGCTGTGCCAGTGTGAAGACCAGAGTTAGGATCTCCAGCACCTACATAAACACTGGGTGAATATACTGTAGCCCACCCATAATCCCGGCAATCTGGAGGCTGAAACAAACTAATAAGGCTAGCCCTGGGTTCAAGTGAGAGATGATGCCTCAACATACAAGGTAGAGAGCAATTAAAGAAAACACCTAATGTCACAACATGCAACAACACACATGCACACACATATGCAAAAAACTAATAATAATAATTAGCACCTGCCATTCCCAGTAGCTGTGAGTTCCAGGGCAGGAAAGGAGCCTGGAACAAGGTGAAGCCTCCAGAGCAATTGTGGAAACAGGAAAAGGTCCTCTTAGACCTGGATGTCTCAGACCACTTGTCTGTGTTGCTGTGAGTGCAGAGGAATGGAATGCCCCTGAAGTCTTGGACTCACATTAGCCAGCTGCCATTAAGACATTTCCTTGACCCCTGATGTTAACATTTTATACTTAAAATGCTGTCAGGTTTTGCATTCTCTTCCACACCCTGTTACCATCCTGTTTTATTGCATGTTCTTGGCTGGTACTGTAGGAGGGAGGCAGCCATTTTCTGCTGCAATTTGGTCTGATCCTGGCACACTGCTGTAAACTCCTGCAGGCATCATCACCCTGTCAAAACACACAGACACATACCTATTTGGGGCTTCAGGTTTTGGTTGGTTGGTTGGTTGGTTGGTTGGTGTTTTGAGACAGGGCCTTGCTAGGTAATTCTGGTCAGCCTAGAATTCACTCTGTAGATCAGGCTGGCCTCAAACTTTCAGTGATCCTCCTACCTTTGCCTCCCCAAGTGTTGGGATTATAGGTATATGCTACTGTGCCTGGCAAGAGCATGGCTTTCAAGTTTTTCATATCCTGTCTTGTTTTCCACTGGGACTCCCTCTCTGTTGTAAGTTGTCTCTAATCCAGGCCAGCTAGAGTCTCCCAAGTTATCCATGGGAGCCAGTCTTCCTCAGAGTCTAGCCTTTTATAGCATTTTGTCATGGCAGGAAGAGATGCCAAGGCCTGTGAGATGTCTCCATTAGCAGAGGGCAGAACAGGCATCGCGTTTCAGGCCCTCGGTGGCCTTTGGCCTGTTGGTTCTGTGATATATGGGCTGCATTGAGGCCTGCTGGGGGTAGGGAACTTACATTTCCTTGGGACCATGGAGGCTCTCCTTGAGCGTCTGTCTGGGGAACTCACACTGGAGGCTCCTTGGTGGTGGAGAGAGGAGGCCTTCCAGACAGAGAGGCAGGTACCCCACCTGTATGTTGGTGGACTACAGTCAGCCTGGGGTGGCAGGAATGGAGTTTTCAGGACACCTTTCATAGGTTACGAGGTCCAAGGAAAGAAAATTTCCCATGAAAGCCTGGAATCCTATTCACCCCTCCTCCCGTCTCCCGGGCCTCAGTTCATCCAAGGAAGCAGGCAGGGTGGGACAGGTGATTCTTGGTGTTCTGCTGATTTGATCTCAAATGATTCTGAGATAAGAAAAGCTGGCTTTCTTGCCCCCATCTGTGTTCTTGGAGTTTTCTGTGTGGGTATACACATACGTGTTTGTGAGTGTGTGCATGCGTGTGAGTGCGTTTGCAGCCAGAGGTCAGTACCAGTTACTCAGTTTCTGGAACTGGCCAGTTTGGCTAGGTTGGCTGGCTAGTGAGCGCCAGGGATCACCCTGTCTCCACCTCCCTAGGGATCACCCTGTCTCCATGCCCCCAGCACTGGCCTGCAGGCACACACAGCCATGCCCAGCTTTGCACATGGGTGCTGGGGATCAAGCTTAGATCCTCATCTGGCAAGCCCTTTACCAACTGAGCCATCTCCCCAGCTCCGAGTTAGCAGGTTTATAAAGCTGTTTCCAGGGGCTGGAGAGACAACTCAGTGGTTAAGAGCACTGGCTCCTCTTTCACAGGACTCGGGATTGATTCCAAGCACCCACGTAGTGACTAACAACCATCCATAACTCCAGTTCCAGGGGAGCCACTATCCTCTTCTGACCTCCATGGGCATTGCATGACACAAGTGCACTTGCATATATGCGGGCAATATATTCATACACATAAAAATAAAAATCATAAAAAGTTTTTAAAAGCTGTTTCCAGATGAGAGCCTTTGTTTTTTGTTGTTGTTTTGTTTGGGGGTGCGGGGTTGAAGACCTTGCTATGTAACCCTGGCCATCCTAGAATTCACTATGTAGTTCAGACTGGCCTCAAACTGTCCATGATCCTCCTGCCTTTGCCTCCCCAGTGTTGGGATTATAGGTATATGCTAGCTACCATAGACAGAATGTCTCTCCTACCTAGCATCCCTCTGCCCCCATAAAACAGGGACCAGCAAGGACCTCGATCTACAGGAGGAGGCAGAGTAGCAAGAGTCTTAGATAATTACATAACCGGTGTATGGTGAAGCAGTCTCTTAGTCTCTGTGACTGATTGTGTCTCTTACCTTAACATAGGATAGACTGGTGATAGAAATACCATTCAGGGCTGGAGGTAGAGGTCAGAGGTAGAGAACTTGCCTAACATGTGCGGAGCCCTGGGCCCCATCTCCAGTACTACAAAAACAGTAAACATTCTGTAGAGTGGAGCCGCCCCCTTCTTCAGTCTTTCATCTTACCCATCCTCCCTCCCCCAGCTGTCTTTTTGATGTTCTTGTTACTTAAATTGTTTGATAGCACAGAAACCTCAGGACTCCTAGTGAGTAGCTTTGACAGACCTCAGCTTCAGTGTGTCTTGGGCTCTTCCTGTATAGGACTGCCCAGAGTCCACACAACCAACCTATGTAATCATGCCCGTGATTTGAGGTTTAGAGAGGTCATGTAACTTGCCCAAAGTCACAAGGCTTGGGTTTTTTTGGGGGGGATGGGGTGGGGGGGATTGAGGTTTTTAGCAATTAAGGTAAAACTCATATTGTAGTATTAACTTCACCACTTTATCCATTTTAAGGTATACAGTTCAATGCCGTATAGTACATTTGTGCTATCTAGTGTACAGCCATCATTCTATCTAGTTCCAGAATCTTTTTCATCACCTTAAAAGGAATCCTTGTAGGCTGGGCATGGTAGTCCACACCTACCTGTAGCCCCAGCACTTGGGAGGCAGGAGCAGGTGGATCTCTGTGAGTTCAAGGCCAGCCTGGTCTACATAGTGAGTTCCAGGCCAGCTGGGGCTACAGGAGACCCTGTTTCAAAAATACCCCCCCAAAAAGGGGGGGTAGGGAGTACTTTTGAGCATAGCCACTCAGTCCTGTAATCCCAGGTATTTAGGAGACTGAGGCATATTCAAGGCCAGCCTGGGCAACTTAGTGAAGCCCTGTGTCAAAAACAAAACAAAACAAAAACCCAGTGAAGAGGCGGTTGGGGGTGGTGGTGGTAAGAGCACTAAGAGCACTGCAGAGGATTCGGGTTCAGTTCCCAGCACCCACATGGTGGCAAACAACCATCCCTAACTCTCCCAGAGGATCCAACACCCACTTCTGACCTCCGTGGGCATCAGGCACACACATGATGTATTTACATACACACAGGCAAAACACTCATCCACATAAAAATAAATAAAATCTTTAAACAAAGAAAATTTAAGTAAAAAGAAAGCTGAGGATGTAGCTCGGTGGAAGAGCTACCGCCGATCGGCCCGCTTCCCAGTCTGTCCCTCCCTGACCCTGGCAAGCACTAATCTGCTTTTGTGTCTGTCTGGCTGTCGCCTATGTGGGAAGGATCGTATAGTTTTAAGTGTTCGTGTCTGGCTCTTCCAGTTCATAGTGTTTTCTGTGCATCCTTGTCACAGCACGTATCAGACTCCTTCCCTCTGAGGGTGGACTTGCCATCCATTCATTGTAGATGCCACAGTGTTTACCCCGTCCTCTGCTCACAGGTTTTTGGGTCATCGCTTTTGTGCTATTGCTATGAATATTCAGGTACAAGTCTCAGATCATGTGTTAACTCTGTGCTGCGCTCTCAAGAGAACCCAGCTGAGTTTTGATTTTACCTGGTGGTTGATGCTCAGAGGTGACTGGTCCTTTGCCCCAGGCAGGAACTGGAAGGAGAAAATCTTGGGAGAGAAAGACACAATGGCCTTTGTGCAAAGGCC